TTTTGACATGAGGACATAAACAGTACCCCTGAGTCAGTCTCCTGCTTCTGAGATAGAGGTTGCTGCCAAGGCCAAATCAGCTGCTACTCCAGCACTCAAAGTCACTTGTCACTTTATTTTAGGTGTACACAAACAGAGTATTCACTTTGGAGGAGACCCAGTTTTTAGTGACATTTATTCCATATTTGTACATATTCAGGTATGCTGTAAAAGATTCAGTTGCATCGTTGGTGAGTGACATGATTTCATATGATCTGCAGATATGAGGCTGCAGATTGTTTTTTATGCACTATTAGAATCAGCTATGGAATCCTACTCTTGTTGCTGAAATTGGTCCTTGGGAATTGCAGAATTTCATATGCTTTACCTTTCAACTTATAAAATATATTATCTTAATTTTCTAACATCAGGCATGGTTGGAATATAGTACTGGGGCATGGATGCACTCATGTGCCCACCCCATAGGTATCTGAATTTATGTAGCGTCTAAAACCAGCTTTGATACTGGTTGACTCTGACTGCATAAAGACAGCCTCTCTGCTTCCATTTTTGTATCTGTAAAATGTGGGAAATATCTACATCCTGCTTCTGAGGATTAAAGCTTAAAAAAGTGTCTTGTAGTTGGAAAAACAGTATAAATGCTAAGAGTTGCTATTAGCAGAACAAAGTTGGAGCTGGTAAACAAGCTGCAGGAGTGCAGTGAGGGGATACATACTGAAAGGTTATATCATTGCTATGTATACAGTATTGAGGAGTTCAATAAAACAAAAGCATCTGGTATCATTTGGCACTATGAAACTAATGCCCTGACAAAAGGAATTAGTGTTTGGCCTAAGGGCAATTAACAGTGTTGCACTTCAAGGCTCTAAGGCGAAATATCATTTGACAATAGTTTTTCCTGCTTGGAAAGAAAATTGGCACTCTCCCCTTCTGTATGCTGCTTTAGTCAACAGTTGGGCTTCATTCCTTTCTGCACTTGTGAGGTGTACGTCAGCTGAACAGGCTGATTATGGTCTGATCTCTTGGTGTTTATTTGCTACCAAGATGAAGACTGTGCATTTTCACTTGATTTTTTTTTTAGTCACTGTTTTGCAGTTATATAATGCTTTTAATCTTCAAAGTATTTTATATTAATCCTCTCATCACTACTGTGAGTATTATCTCCATTTTATGGATGGGAAACAGGCAGAGAGAGCTTTTGAGTAATTTGCCTAGAACAGCAGAGGGAGTTTGCACCAGTAACGATTGGGAATCTGGACATCTAATGTGTATTGCCTTACACACTAGAACATTGTTATGGATGTACATTTGGTGTTCTCCAGGCATTGTTACAAAATTGAGTGTCTACAGTGTTTGTGAGCAGAGTGGCACAATGCAGGGAAAAAGACAAAATATAGCAGACAGCTGGCAAAATAGTATAGTGCCTAACCTGAAAAATCTGATGTATTTAGGTCTGTGGTACAAAACAAATGCAGTTATATGCCCAAGAAAAATGTTTTCTGTTAATTAAATTGGGCAAGAACACTGAAACTTGTTACAATTTTTTTTTTCAAACTGTTTTATTAAAGGCAGCTTATTTTCAATTTTTTGTTGTTGCTTAGGCCCAAAGCTTTTTTCTAAAGTAACTCCCCATCTTGCTCTGCCACAAATAATATTTCGGATCCAGTTTCAGTGTTTTATCTCTTCTCTACTCTCCCGCCCCACCCCCCGCTCCCTAAAAATTGCCCTCTAGACAAAGGTGTGATTATCAGTATAACTCTGCCACATCTTTTATTTCATGTAGTGTTAAGATTATAGATGTATATGCTTTTTATATTGCACTAATGCTTAGCAATTCTATAAGAGTACTTCCAGTATTTAGCATATAAAACTAAATTTCTTGAATTCTGAATTAGTAAAATGGGCAGCTCAGCTTACTGTTGTAGAATCAATAATGTGGGGAAGCTTTGGGAAATTATTTTTTTAGATATGCTTAAACCTTTTGTGTTTAGGTAAGCCTGGTTTTACTATTTCATTTGAATTCAGTGATGTCCGTCACTTTGGCCCATTGGATTTGTACAATTTGTACAAATTTGTTTAAAAAAACTTGTACAATTTTGTTTGTTTAAAAACTTGGGCAGTCCATTTAAAATGGGACAAGTTTGTTTAAAAACTTGTACAATTTGTACAAGATTTGTAGCACAAGTTGTAAAGATAGAAATATCTGAGACTTTATTACCTGAAAACTTGTCTGTATGGAAAAGTCATATCACTATACTCTTGAGGTGTGAATTTAAACTAATAATTATACTAGTGTAACTCCTTTGCTCCCCTATTTTAATACAAAAGTGGCTTTTTTCACTGTAATTTGGCACTTAGGAAGGGGTTTAAGACGAACTGAAGAAAGCTACTCATAATTGCAAATTCATAACTTGAAAACAAATGAGATGACCGGTTAAATGTTCAAAGCTGATCCTCAGTCTTGCTATGATTATCAAAGAAATTTGGGTATACCTTTACATTTAAAGATTTTTTTTGTTTTTCAAGGCAGGACATGAAAATACTGGATGTCAAGCTGTCTCCTCATCAGTGTGTAGCAGTGTTTGGATAGCAGCATGTCTTGCAGGGCCTCTTTAAACTTCAACTGTTCACCAAGTATTATACATTAGGTATCACTTAAAACAGTTGGAGTCTTATAAAAACAAAAGTGTTACAAGAATGAGATGTCTGCATTTTCATGGGGCACATTTTTTGTTTCTTACGTTTTTTGGATCTTTATTTCAAAACAGACAATCAGTAGCTAATATGCAATATTGTAGCAGTTTTGGTCACAGGATATTAGAGACAGGGTTGGAGAAGGTGATATCTTTTATTGGATCAGCTTCTATTGGGGGAGGGAGAGAGAGATGCTTTTGAGCTTTCAAACGCATATTACGTCAACCACCTTGTCTCTCAGTCAGTAGCTAACGCCAGAAAACAAGTTGCTGTGTGGAGTGTGCTCGTGGAGTTGAGCTTAGAACATTGCCTCATGCAGGTCTCTTACTAGAACAGCATGTTAATGTGTGAGTTCAGCATGCATTAGAATACGTGGTTACCATTTGGAGTTCTGATAGTCTCTAACTTTCTGTATTTCTGCTCAGTCAGAAGATTCCAGGGATCTCATTGTTATAGCAAGTGTTCTGTGTATTGTAATGATGTTTTTATAGGCTACTAGAAGATAAAATGGGAACAGTTGGCATCTTTATCAGCAATGCCGCAATGAAATATTGTAGTGAAAAATCTTATCCAAGGTTAGTGGGAAGGCCACCAGCGCATAAGAGAACATAAAAAATTGAAGAGCAAAAATAGAGAAATGTTGGAAATATGACACTTAAAATATTCTGCATATCTGTATTCATGCAGTAAATAGCATCTTATGTTGTGCCCAATTGAGTCCTATTAGTTACAGGTTCTGTCACAAGATAGATATCTGTCCACTGGAAACTTGATCTCTGTCCCAGCAAGCCTATTGTGAAGTACTGCAGCATCCTTACAATTAATGGAGGTGGAATTTTTCTCACGGAATAGTGATAGTTCATGGAAAAACAAAAAAAACATTTATAATGGTTTAAAACCATTTGATGTTAACCATTTCAGCAAAGGTATTAAATTCCACTTCTCTATATGGTAATTTTTTTTTCTTTCAAGCTTTCAAAGTAGCCTCATTTTTGGCATTTAAATATGTACCTGCACCTTTGCCCAAAGTGGCTACCTAGACATGGAAGAGAAGCACCAAAGATTAAAAGCTTTGTATCCCATTACTAATCCCCTGAGCTATGCAGTCTCCCACACTGCATTGTGTGGCTTGGTTCACCTTATTTAATATTTGCAGCACATTTGTTTGAAGAAGCATTTCCCACTTTTCTTCTTTCACTTCAGCCCTTATTTCCTCCCTAACCCCAAACAAAAAACTTCCTATAAAACTTTAAGGATTCCCCCTTTTCCCCTCAAGAAGGGAATATATACTGTGTATTTACATTTGGTTTTCTTGTTCTGTGAATGTTTTTCATTACCACCATGCTGTAGGTAGTGTAAATCATTACAGATGTTTTAAAATGGTTGTCACGAACATAACCTTTTGCTTCATTATTTAGTGTGCAATGAAATATATGTTCCTGCCACGTAAATGTGGACTTGTATTCATGTAGAATGTTCATTGAATCTGTAAGGGCAGTAGTTATGCAAAATCTGTTCTCTCACAATGGTAGAGCAGAAATCCATTATGGTAGTTGGTTTGCCTACAGACACAAAGATCAATAGTGCTTTGTTAACAGGGCCATCAAGCATTTCTAGCTTGCTTTTGCTTGGATGGATTAGACCTTAGACCTTGGTGAAATAAAGTCCACTTGAGCTTGACTTAGCATCATCCTTATTGTCTGTACATGTACTCATCTGTGCCTGTAGCTACTATTACTCTACACTTACTTTGTCTTGTTTAAGTGTAATTAACAGCATGAATTGACCCCATAGTTTGTGTGTCTGAGCTAGTCTCAAATCAGCCATTGAAAACATAATATTATAATCTACAATATCAGCTCTTCATCACATGGGGATACTTTATTGTAGTGTTCAGAGTTGGGAGGGGTGTGAGAATTGTAATGATAATCCTTTTTTATTTAGTCGTTTACATGCTTTCATATCTGCTCTTAAGGGTATTTTCTCCCTTGTTTATGCCAATTAGCTTCTCTGTTGTTGGTCTTAAGACTAAATGTTTTCAAGGAACACCTTCAGTGTGTCGTATTTCCATTTCAGTTTTGTAACTGATATTGTTAAAAGTAACCCTTAAAAGCCCTACCTCTGAAAATTTGAGAAATATTTTGTATAGCTTCTTGTGCAGGACTTTCTGCTGGCATTTTAAGCCTGTAGTTCATTTGGTCTTCAGCTACCATTTCAGATAACTTACTTAAACAATTTGTTATACAAATTTAAAGACACAATACAGAATAGGCTTTCATATTCTGCTTTTTGTTCTTGATTTTTAGGTTGTGTTAAAGATTATTAAGCATTACCAAGAAGAAGGACAGGGGAATGAGGTGGTCCAGGGAGTGCTGCTGGGACTTGTAGTGGATGACAGGCTTGAAATCACCAACTGCTTTCCATTCCCTCAGCACACGGAAGATGATGCAGACTTTGATGAAGGTAAGACATGCAGTTTGTCCAAACTAGGGCATTGGATTTACAGTCTTTGTCACCCAGAAAAAGCCAAAGTATACTGATTTCTTTAAAAAACAAACAACCTCGCCCCTCCAAAAAACCCCTCCACACACAACACCCACCTAACCAAAATAAAAGACACACACACACACACAACTATGGCTGGAAACTTCACTCACATTTGTTACAAGGTCTCTTTTTGACTGAAATAAGAACCTATAATGCATTTCCAGAACTTACACATAAAGCTCCCATCCTGTATATCTGATTTAGAGCTTATCTACATCAGTAATACACAGGCATATTCTCTGTGTATATATAAAGTCTGCTGCAGTTTCCACGGTATGCATCTGATGAAGTGAGCTGTAGCTCACGAAAGCTCATGCTCAAATAAATTGGTTAGTCTCTAAGGTGCCACAAGTACTCCTTTTCTTTTTACCCCAATATAATTAGACTGCTATAGTTACACTGGAATAACTCACCTGTATGGACACTTATATTCTAAAAAATTCTGGAGAAAATGTCCACATGGAGAGTTACGCCTGTAAATGTAGAGAAGCTCTTATTAAATACTTATTGGAAGTCTGAAGTGCTAGGGTTTGTAGGTTAAGGGGCATTGTCAATTTGAAATCTTGACAATTTAAAATGAATTAAAAAAAAAAAAAGCTTCAGGCGTTCACACCTGCACCGATGTTCCGCTGCTGGTCAGTAATTTCTTACTATCTACAGGGTTCAGAGCAGCAGCCACGTCAGTCTGTATCCTCAAAAAGAAAAGGAGTACTTGTGGCACCTTAGAGACTAACCAATTTATTTGAGCATAAGCTTTCGTGAGCTACAGCTCACTTCATTGGATGCATTCAGTGTGTGTGTCTACACTGCGATTAAACCCCCACATCTGGACTGTATCAGCTGACTTGGGTTTGTGAGGCTTGGGCTGTCAGGCTGTAAAATTGCACTGTAGATGCTTGGGCTCAGGTTGGAGCCTGGACTCTGGGACCCCATGAAAGGGGAGGGCTCAGGGCCTGGGCTCCAGCCCAAGATCAACTGTCTGTACAGCAGTTTTAGAGCCCTATTGCCAAAGCCTTGCGAGCCGAGTCTGCTGACATGGGCCAAACGTGGGTGTTTAATAGCAGCGTAGATATATGGCTAGTGTTTAGGAATGAACTAGTTGTCTGCATGGGAGTATGTGATGTGCCAGCCCCCGTATAGGCCTTTAATCCCATGTGCAGCATTCAACTCTTGCCAGGGGTACAGAACAGCTGTCCATAGCAAGAAAGTGCCCATGTTGCCAGGTCTCGCTTCCCTCTTACGCTCAGCATCTGCAAGCTAGCTTCACCCACTTCAATACAGTGAAATCATTAGTAAGCCAGGACCCTCTCTCACCCCACCTCCAAGGGAGATGCAAGCTAAGAGGAATTTCCCTCACCTAAATGTCAGGTCCCTAACTTGGCAACCCTCTCTCTTGCAACACAGACATTGTAAAGGAGCAAACTCTAGTCAGGTGAGTAGGTAGAAGGAGTCAAACTGAAACAGTGTTGCTACTGCTATTAAGCAGCCCCCAGCATTTGGAGGAACACTGTAGTTAGGTCAACTCAGCATGCCTCACTCTTCCCAAGCAGTCTTTAGGCAGATGCCATGCCTCCTTCATGTAGCACAGGTCAAGGTGAGAAAATCTGACGAGCCATTAAGAGAGAAACAGCTCTTTTGTGCACAGGCATGCTGAGGCGGGATGAAGGATGAAACTAGCTCTTATAATGGAGGATAGCAAGAATTCAGAAAAACTGCTATAAAAGTAGCCAGCCTGGTGCAAGTGCCCTTTCAGCTGCCCAGAGTGCACCCCTTCTCTTGCCAATGTGAAAAGGCACCAAAAAACCAAGGTACAGGTCCGGCCCATTTGTTTCCCTTCTGATAGGGGTATGCTGAACAGGAGAGTGACCAGGAGCAAGAACACCAGACTACCTCCCTTTCTCCTTCCCCATGTTGTCAGCTATTCAGAAGGATTCCTGTCCTTTCCTGTACAGGCATAGGTATCCCAGAAGAGCAGTCTCTCTTGCATACCTGCCAACAGCTTCAATGTAAAATCCAGTAAACTGAAAATTTATGTAATCTTGCATTAATTTTCTATATCTTCCGTATATTTGCGTAAATTCAGGAAAAAAGAGACCAACCAAAAGGAGGACAGATCCCAGCATTTCAATTCTTTTCTTCCCCAAACAAGACATTTAATTCTTCTTCCTTCCCACAAACAAAAGGATATCATTCTTTCTCTTCCTCTCACCCAGAGGGTCTTCAACCCTTCCCTTTCTTTCTTTTGGGATCGGGACAGTGCTAAAAGGGTGAAAGTTGCAGAGCCAGCATGGAGCAGTTCCCCCGTTGGCTCTCAGATGCACACAGGGTTGAAGGACTCTATCAGGACCTTACCCTTTGGTTACTTGGAGGGATAAGATCTCTGCCTAATGGATGGGCTGAGGCACTAGGCTGTACCTCAGCAGCCCTTCCCCAAAATGTGAGGAAGTGGAGAAGGGCAGCCAGTCAGATGACAATTTCCCTATAGACTTGTAGGAAGGTATGAAAGCTGTAGTCTGTGGGGAGAAGTCTGAGTTGGCAGCTCACAGAAACAGGATTCCTCCTGTATCACTTCATAGTATAACCAAGCATGGGCAGTCTGCTAGTACTCCATGCATTACACACATAGCTAAATTAATGCCATTTAAAAAAAAAAGGCTCCCGAGGGATCACAGCAATTACAGGCCGGTAAGCCTAACTTGACTACGAGGAGGATATGATAGAGGTCTATAAAATCATAATTGGTGTGGAGATAGTAAATAAGGAAGTATTTACTCCTCATAACACAAGAACTAGGGGTCACCAAATAAAATTAATAGGCAGCAGGTTTAAAACAAATAAAAGGAAGTATTTCTTCACACAACTCACAGACAACCTGTGGAACTCTTTGCCAGAGGATGTTGTGAAGGCCAAGATAATAACATGGTTCAAAAAAGCATTAGATACATTTTAGGCAGGGATGGTGTCCCTGTTTGCCAGAAGCTGGGAATGGGCGACAGGGGATGAACCATTTGATGATTATCTGTTCTGTTTATTTCCTCTGAAACATTAGCCACTGTCAGAAGACAGGGTACTGCGCTAGATGGGCCAGTATGTCCATTCTTGTGTTCTTCTTATGACCATGAGCTGGTGGAGTTCTTAGAGTGTAGTTTTCAGGTTTACCGGGACCAGCAGTGAAAGAGGGAAAAGCTCCAGAAATTGATGTCATTTGTCATTGATCATTGAGTACCATGTACAAAAAAACAAAAAACATTTCTCCAAACTGATTGCAACTTATGATGGTGGATACATGGGATCATTACTTTTGTAGGATGAAGTTTACATAGAGGAAGGTGAAATACAAGTAGAGGAAGCTTTGCTTGATCTACAGGAGAAAGTGGTGCAATGCCTACCTTTTAAAGATCCAGAACTCCCCTGATATCTTAAAATTGCACAGATTTTTGAGGCTGAAATAGGAGACTGGTGGAGCTAGGACCTGGGGATCCCATTCTAAAGTAATGCAAAGAATACTTCTTTGTGTGCAAAATCATGTGGGCAAGAAATTGACAGAGAGCTGTCTTGAGCCAGGAGTCTTAACTTACTCTTGTCAGTTTCTGAATAGGTAGGTTTGAAATCTAGAAATGTTGAAAGATGTTGAGGTCATATATAACTTTCTTCCTTAGTTGCCAATAACATCTTGTATTAATAAAAAATTAATAAAACATGTAATTGCCTTGTGCATTTTTCTGTTTACTTAAGCAGAATGAAATATAAAAAGTAATAAAACTGGACCAGCTAGTGTTACTTTAATTTATAATCAGTTCCCTTTTCTGGTTCTTTTGTACTAGCACGGTGCTGTTCTTATTTATAATGCTGCAGAAAACATTGAAGATTAAAGTTTAACTGGAATTTTTTCTAATGTTGAAAATATTTCTATTCAGATGGGGAGTTTTAAACCTGTTTTTTGTAAAGCTTAATTTGGGGTCTCAATTGAGTTAATAGCCATTTTGCAAATATACTTTATCTTTGTTGTGCTAGTTCAGCTGTTAAAATTTACCTTGAGGTAGGAGTTTATTCTCAACCTCAGTGGGAATCACTAGAAAGTGAAATTATTGCTAAAGGTCATTTAAAGTTTTTTCAAGAGTGCAAGGAAATGTGTATTTGAATATTCTGTTTCCTAAAAGATGTAAAAGAAAATTAGTGTTACTTTCTAGTTGATGCTGCTATAATTCTGAAATGGTTCTCTACGGATTCAGTTTGCTCAGACTTGTGAAGTCCAAGGAAGTAAACATCCTCACCCTGATAAAATGTCTGGGAGCCCTGATGTGAAGTATTCACCATATCCAAATAGGGTAGAGCTCTTTAGTGGCTATGTATTGGAAAAAGCAGGAGATTGTAAGTTTAGAACAGAAAAAGTGGCTTTTGTTTGGGGAGAAAACACTAAAAGATTCTAAAAAAAAAAAAATTGGGGAGTTTTCCTAAAGTCACCCACTCAGGAGTTTGTGGACTTGCTCCATCACATGACTATTTTGGAGAGAACTATCTAACAAAGTGTGGGTTCTAGAAAGTTAAAGGTGAGGCTTAGTTGATGGCATGTGAATTAGATGAAGGAAAATCCACTGAATGGGGTGTAATGTTGAGAACTCCAGACTGTAGATGCTTGGAAGAAGACGTTTTGAAAGTTCTGGAGCCATACTGTTGGCCATCAAGTACAGTAACAATGAATTTAGTTCATGTGCTGTTTGGCAGTGGTTCTCAACCAGTGGCCCGGGGCCCCCTGGGGTGTTGTGAGGAGGTTTCTGGGGGTCCTCCAAGCAGGGCCAGCGTTAGACTTGCTGGGGCCCAGGGCAGAAAGTCGAAGTCCCACCACATGGGATTGAAGCCCAGGGCCCTGAGCCCTGCCACCTGGGGTTCTCAGCCAAAGCCTGAGCAACTTAGCT